AAATGAGCCCTTTCTAGTTTTGCAAACTGAGGAGATTTGTTGTGATCTGATCTGTGCTCTGTCCAAACCATCATGAAACATTTTGCTTTGGGGAAAATGTTTCTTGGCCTGTTCTTGTTAGATTGTGCTGCTGTAAATTGGAAATGAAAGCAGGATTCAGAGAGGTTTGGGCCTTTTTTGCCGAGAAAGAGAAAGGGAGAGGTATCCCACTCTGTTCTCATTTCCCTGGGTGCTCCCCTGTCAGAGGAGGCAGTGACAAGGACAGGCTTCCCTCTCTTCCTGATCAATTAATGTGCATCTCTCTCTGCCTGACAGATTTCACCACCCCCCTGGGCACTTTAATTCCTTCTCTAAATTGGAGTCTTTCCACCAGGAGGTGGGGAGGTATTGAAGTCGGAGGGAGAGATCCACCTTTATTGATCAGCATCTACTCTACTTTATTCATCAACCAGGCACCTTTTATAACAGTGTTCATTCACTTCATGCATATTGCAAAATCTGAGCTCCTGATAGGCTGTAGAGAAAACTTCAGCTCCTCCTTTTGTTTACAATACCTGAAGTTTGTTTTTTGAAACCAAGATCAGTGTTCCCACCATGATATGAAAGGTTCTCAGAACCTTCATATCTATTCCCAGCCTGGCTGTCTGTTCCCAGTAGCAGCCAAGGACAGAACGGTCTGAGAATCTTGTTGTTTATATAAAAGGTAGCTGAGAACCTTAATTATTTACAGAATCAAGCCTGGGAAAGGCTGCTTTTTTCCTTTAGCTGAATCCCTTCATGGCCTCTTTCTTTAAGCCATGCTTGAACCAGGCTCTCCACAGGGAGGGATCTGCTCCCAGCTGCAGGAGCCCTGGGCATGGCACTGCCCAGAGAATGGGAAACCTGAGTGCAGCTCCCATGTCCCATAAACCTTCATTTCCTTCTTTATCTTGTAATTCACTTTTTTTTTTCCTCATAAGCACAGCCAGATTCCCAACCACCAGACCTCTGAGGCTGGTAAGAATCACTTTTCCATGATACTTTTCCCCCAAAAGTCAGGATGTAATATCACAGGTGACAGAGCAGGAAGCACCTTTGATTTTCCAAAAGAATCCAAGTGTCAGCTATGCCAGAGGAAGACATCTGACAATGTTAATTATCACAGTTTTGTCAAACTGGCCTTAAATAATTATAGATCTGCGGTCTTTGACCAGTTGTAGGAGCTTCTCTGCTTTTTCTGTGATTTTGTTTTCCCTTTAATAGTCTTTTGTGTGGTCATAGATGGCCCAGAGCGGTTTATCCATTATTTGCTGTGTAACAGCCTTCTTTCATTCAGATATAGTCAATATTATCTGAAAAGTTTAGTTCTGTTTCTTTATTTCCTCATTGACAAGCTGATGCTAAATTACAGTTTTTGTGATATTTTAATGAGCCTCCTGCAAAAAAGGAACCTTAATTCTAAAGACAACATTTAGTTGAATCAATTAATTAATTTATTAATTAGTCTTCAGAGATGTAGGTAAATTGATCTGTTGATGAGACATCAAGAAATTTCTTCTATAAAAAGGAATTTCTTCCTATAAAGAGCAGCAGGTTGGGTGGGTGCTGGTGTAGTCATAGATAAATGCTCTGGTTTAACAAAGCCAGAAATCTTGAAAGACTGAAAAGAACCAGTTTAAAGTTTTGTCATGATGTAATTTAGGCTTGTTCCTGATTTCCTTTTTCCCTCTTGAGCCTGGCTCTCCCTTTGTAAAGTGGGTACTGATTGTGGTGGCTCAGTTGTGTGTCATAGAATCACAGAGTGAGCTGGGTTGAAAGAGAGCTTTGAGAACATCAAATCCCACCTGTGACCCAGCAGCTCCTCATCAGCTGAAGCGTGGCACTGAGTGCCACATCCAGGACAGTGACTCCACCACTGTGGGAACCAGACAAACAGAAACTTCCACAGACACTGAAGGGTTTGATCTGCAGCCTTAGAAAAAGGTTGGATTGATGTAAAAATACAACACACAGGCATTAAGCAGAAGAATCATAAACTTATGTTTCTATAGTTGTAAGAATGTGCCTTAAGTAAGTGAGAAGCTGCATTGATAAGGTGGTGAAGGGTTTATAATGTAGGGGTGGGGTTGTATGGAATAACTTCTAAACTCTCAGCTTATAATAGAAGCATCAGTGTGTCTGTGAGACAGAAACCTGTTGGACAAAAGTACCCACAGTGCAGCAAAAGTAAGTAAAGGTGATAGGTTAGAAAAGCAAAATAAATCTTGTGGCATCTATTCATTGGGTTAGAAAGTTCTGTATTGTCTTGTAACAAGGAACTTGTGGCCATTTTGAGCTGTGGCTGATTGCTTGCTGCTCTAAATCTCACAGCCTCTGAGACTGATGTTTATCTGAGCAATAAATCCTTCTTAGCCCAGCTGTGGTCCCATCCCTTCATTAAAAGCTGTGACAATGATACACCACCTCCCTGGCACACAGTTCCAGTGCCCAGTCTCTCTTTCAGTGAAGAATTCTTTTCTGATGTTCAACCTAAACTTCCCCTGGCTCAACTTATGTCCTCTTCTCTGCCTGGGAGAAGAGACTTGGCTACAGCTTCCTCTCAGGGGGCTGTAGAGAGTGATGAAGTCACCCCTGACCCTTCTTTTTCCATGCTAACCAACCCCAGCTCCCTCAGGAGCTCACAGGATTTGTGCTCCAAGCCTCTCACCAGCCTTGTTTCCCTTCTCTGGACACCCCCCAGCCCTAAATGTCCTTCCCAAACCGAGGGCCCAGGGCTGGACACAGCACTCAGGGTGCAGCCTGACCAGTGCTGAGCGCAGGGCCAGGATCACTGCCCTGCTCCTGATGGCCACACCATTCCTTGTAGCTCCAATTTACCTGCCTGCCCTGGTAGAATTTGGTGCCACATTCAATAAATGGGGCTAAAATGGGCAAAGCTGATGGTTTTGTGCACAGGGGGCTGGGGAGGATCAGTGTGGGAGCTGTTTGAACCCACCCTTGTTCCCTCTGCTGCAGCCACCTCCTTGCAGGTGCTGTGGGGTTGTTGGTGTTGGATTATGGATTTTCTGACCCAGAGATGGGATAACTGAGAGGTGTTTGAAAAACTTCTATTCCATTTTCAGTATCTTGAGAAGGGTGAGGCAATACAGATGTTATAATTCACACCATCACAATCAGTAGCTAATTATTTTCTAATTACAATACACTGTAAGAGTTTCTTGGCCTATCAGCTTTTTGCCACACCGTGCTGTAAATGCCTTAAAGCCAATCATCTAAAACTGCCCCTTGTGGGTCCCACCTCAATGCATCTTTCATAGTTTTGTTTCTCCACAGTATCCAGTCTTGTTTGTGAGCCCATCCTTTGAAACTTGTTTCTAGCTCCATTTCTCTCCCAGCAATGTCTGTCCCATTCCATGTCAGCATTTCTTATCTCAGGGTTTGCATACAGATGCACACTGTGTGGGCCTTCTGGCAGGCTTTGAGAATTCTCTACAAATTCATTTCCCACATTTCCCCCTCTCTCTTGAATGGAAAAAAACTTCTTTGATAACTTTGTTTATTGTTTGCTGTGCACAGTGAGGTGTACAAGGCACTATCACTAACATTGTCACTATAACAACAAATTATTTTGTAAAGTTTTTTAGTTAAGGTGTAAAACTATGTTTTAAACAAGTCATCTAACTACGATCTATCCTCTGTTTTAATTTGATTTGTCAAATGATTTAGTTTTTGAAGTTGTTTATGGATGAACTCTAAATGTCAGATAAATTT